CATATCCTCATGCACCACCCCATATCCTCATGCACCCCATATCCTCATGCACATCCATATCCTCATGCACCCCCTGTCCTCATGCACCCCATATCCTCATGCACCCCATGTCCTCATGCACCCCATATCCTCGTGCACCCCCATATCCTCGTGCACCCCCCCATATCCTCGTGCACCCCATATCCTCATGCACACCCCCGCATCCTCATGCACCCCATATCCTCATGCACCCCCTGTCCTCATGCACCCCATATCCTCATGCACCCCCTGTCCTCGTGCACCCCATATCCTCATGCACCCCCATGTCCTCATGCACCCCACATCCTCATGCACCCCCATATCCTCATGCACCCCACATCCTCATGCACCCCTACATCCTCACGCACCCCACATCCTCACGCACCCCACATCCTCACGCACCCCACATCCTCATGCACACCCCCATATCCTCATGCACACCCCCACATCCTCATGCACCCCACATCCTCATGCACCCCATATCCTCATGCACCCCATATCCTCATGCACCCCCTGTCCTCATGCACCCCATATCCTCATGCACCCCATATCCTCATGCACCCCACATCCTCATGCACCCCCTGTCTTCATGCACCCCATATCCTCATGCACCCCACATCCTCATGCACCCCACATCCTCATGCACCACCCCACATCCTCATGCACCCCACATCCTCATGCACCACCCCAAATCCACATGCACCCCACATCCTCACGCACCCCACATCCTCACGCACCCCATATCCTCACGCACCCCCTGTCCTCATGCACCCCACATCCTCGTGCACCCCACATCCTCATGCACCCCATATCCTCGTGCACCCCACATCCTCGTGCACCCCACATCCTCATGCCCCCCCCCTGTCCTCGTGCACCCCCTGTCCTCACGCACCCCACATCCTCACGCACCCCATATCCTCACGCACCCCCTGTCCTCATGCACCCCACATCCTCGTGCACCCCACATCCTCATGCACCCCATATCCTCGTGCACCCCACATCCTCGTGCACCCCACATCCTCATGCACCCCCCCTGTCCTCGTGCACCCCCTGTCCTCATGCACCCCACATCCTCATGCACCCCACATCCTCACGCACCCCATATCCTCACGCACCCCCTGTCCTCGTGCCCCGCTCCCGCAGGAGGAAGGGCTCCCTCAAGGCCAGGAAGTGGAGATCCATTTTCCACCTCGGCCGCTCCAGCCACGAGGCCAAGCGCAAGGTGAAGGCGCTGGAGGAGCAAGGTGGGGCCCGCCGCTGCCCCCAGGAGGAGGGACCCCACGGCTCGGGGTCACGTCCCCACATGTGGGGCTCGGGGACATCCCCGCTCCCCTTCCTCACCCCAGAGGACAAGGGCGGCGCGAGGAGCCTGCGCCCGGCCAAGAGCATGGACTCGCTCAGCGCCCTCCCCTCCGGCAGCCATGGTGAGAGGGTGGGGATGGGGGGGGGAGAGGGTGACCGGGATGGGGTGGGGTGGGATAGAATGGGACAGGATGGGATGAAGTGGGATGGAATTGAGTGGGATGGGATGGGGGGGGACAGGATGGGATGGGTGGGATGGGAAAGGGTGACTGGGATGGGATGGGGTAGGACAGGATGGGATGGGTGGGATGGGGTGGGAGAGGGTGGGGATGTGGGGATGGGGGGGGGGTGGGAGAGGGTGACTGGGATGGGGTGGGGTGGGATAGAATGGGACAGGATGGGATGAAGTGGGATGGAATTGAGTGGGATGGGATGGGGGGGACAGGATGGGATGGGTGGGATGGGAAAGGGTGACTGGGATGGGATGGGGTAGGACAGGATGGGATGGGTGGGATGGGGTGGGAGAGGGTGGGGATGTGGGGATGGGGGGGGGGTGGGAGAGGGTGACTGGGATGGGGTGGGGTGGGATAGAATGGGACAGGATGGGATGAAGTGGGATGGAATTGAGTGGGATGGGATGGGGGGGACAGGATGGGATGGGTGGGATGGGAAAGGGTGACTGGGATGGGATGGGGTGGGATGGGGTAGGATGGGATGAGATGGGGTGGGATGGGAAAGGGTGACTGGGATGGGGTGGGGTGGGATAGAATGGGACAGGATGGGATGAGGTGGGATGGAATTGAGTGGGATGGGGTGGGACAGGATGGGATGGGTGGGATGGGAAAGGGTGACTGGGATGGGATGGGGTGGGATGGGGTAGGATGGGATGAGATGGGGTGGGATGGGAAAGGGTGACTGGGATGGGGTGGGATGGAATTGAGTGGGTTGGGGTAGGATGGGATGAGATGGGGTGGGATGGAATTGAGTGGGATGGGGTGGGATGGGATGGGAAAGGGTGACTGGGATGGGATGGGGTGGGACAGAATGGGATGAGGTGGGATGAGGTGGGATGGAATTGAGTGGGATGTGGCCGGATGAGGTGGGATGGGGTGGGATGAGATGGGATGGGGTGTGATGGGAAAGGGTGACTGGGATGGGATGAGGTGGGATAGGATGGGATGGGATGGATGGGATGGGGTGGGATGGAATGGGGTGCAATGACATGGGGCGGGATGGGAAAGGGTGACTGGGATGGGATGGAGTGGGATAGAATGGGACAGGATGGGATGGATGGGACGGGATAGGATGGATGGGACGGGATGGAATGGGGTGGGATGGGATGGGGTGGGATGCAATGGGATGGGATGGGATGGGGATGGGACGGGATGGGATGGGGTGGATGGGATGCAATGGGATGGGGTGGACGAGCACCCGCAGAGCCCGCCCGTGCCCCCCAGGCGCAGGGGACCCTTGTCCGGAGGAGCCGCCCCCGGGGAAGCCTCCGCAGCGCCGGGAAAGCTTCGACGCGTGCCCGGTGCCGCCGGGGCGCTGCCGGGAGTCGGGCGAGGGCCGAGAGGAGGCCCCGGAGCAGCCGCAGGGCGAGGGCAGCGCCCACTCAGAGCCCAGCACCCCCCGGGCAGGGCGCAGCCGAGCCCCGAGGGCCGCCGGGGTCCACATCTCGGTGCCCTTGTCCGTCACCGTCCCCCTGCACATCGCAGCCAACCTGTCCCGCCTGAACCGGGGGCTGCCCTGCCCGGCGCCGGCCACCGGCGCCCTCGCTCCGCAGCCGGATGCCGGCGGGGATGCTCCGGAGCCGGGGTCCCCGTCCCCCGCGGCCCGGAGCCGCCTCTCCATGGAGCTCCGGGATTCCTTCGCCTTCCTGGATAGCCCCGAGCCCTGGCTGGAGGGTGCCGGGGATGGGGAGCAGGGGGAGCGGGAGCTGGCGCCGGGCACGGCGGGTGAGGGCGAGGGGATGGCGGCCACCGAGGACGGGATGGAGAGCGGGTGCATGAACGTGAGCTGCCAGCGGGGCGGGAGTGGGGAGGGACAGCCCCTGGGATGGGATGGGGGGGGATGGACGGGATGGGATGGACACAGCGGGGATACAGATGTGATGGAGGGGATGGGAATTGGATGGGACAGGGATGGGATGGACACAGTGCGGATAGAGATGTGATGGAGGGGATGGGAATGGGAATGGGATGGAAGGGACAGGGATGGGATGGACACAGCGGGGATACAGATGTGATGGAGGGGATGGGAATGGGATGGAAGGGACAGGGATGGGATGGACACAGTGCGGATAGAGATGTGATGGAGGGGATGGGAATGGGATGGAAGGGACAGGGATGGGATGGACACAGTGCGGATAGAGATGTGATGGAGGGGATGGGAATGGGATGGAAGGGACAGGGATGGGATGGACACAGCAGGGATAGAGATGTGATGGAGGGGATGGGAATGGGATGGGACAGGGATGGGATGGACACAGTGGGGATAGAGATGTGATGGAGGGGATGGGAATGGGATGGAAGGGACAGGGATGGGATGGACACAGTGCGGATAGAGATGTGATGGAGGGGATGGGAATGGGATGGAAGGGACAGGGATGGGATGGACACAGTGCGGATAGAGATGTGATGGAGGGGATGGGAATGGGATGGAAGGGACAGGGATGGGATGGACACAGTGCGGATAGAGATGTGATGGAGGGGATGGGAATGGGATGGAAGGGACAGGGATGGGATGGACACAGCAGGGATAGAGATGTGATGGAGGGGATGGGAATGGGATGGAAGGGACAGGGATGGGATGGACACAGCAGGGATAGAGATGTGATGGAGGGGATGGGAATGGGATGGAAGGGACAGGGATGGGATGGACACAGCAGGGATACAGATGCGATGGAGGGGATGGGAATGGGATGGAAGGGACAGGGATGGGATGGACACAGTGCGGATAGAGATGTGATGGAGGGGATGGGAATGGGATGGGACAGGGATGGGATGGACACAGTGCGGATAGAGATGTGATGGAAGGGATGGGAAAGGGATGGAAGGGACAGGGATGGGATGGACACAGTGGGGACAGAGATGTGATGGAGGGGATGGGATGGAACGGACAGGGATGGGATGGACACAGCAGGGATAGAGATGTGATGGAGGGAATGGGAATGGGATGGGACAGGGATGGGATGGACACAGTGGGGATAGAGATGTGATGGAGGGAAGGGGAATGGGAATGGGATGGAAGGGACAGGGATGGGATGGACACAGTGGGGATACAGATGTGAAGGAAGGGATGGGAAAGGGATGGAAGGGACAGGGATGGGATGGACACAGCAGGGATAGAGATGTGATGGAGGGGATGGGAATGGGATGGAAGGGACAGGGATGGGATGGACACAGCAGGGATAGAGATGTGATGGAGGGGATGGGAATTGGATGGGACAAGTGAGAACATGAGCAGAACAGGGATTGGATAGGATGGACACGGTAGGGATGGAAGAGACAAGGATGGGATGCAGATGGCAGTGATGGGATGGAGGGGATGGGGATGCAAGGGACGGGGTAAAGATGGAGGGGATTGGGATAGGATGGAGGGGGCAGGGATGGGATTGGCAGTGGGGATGGAGGCATAGGGATGGCATGGAAGGGATACGCATGCGAGGGAGGGAATGGGAATTAGATGGAAAGGACAGGGACGAGCATGAAGAGAAGAGGGATGGAGGGAACAGGGATGGAATGGCAGTGACATGGATGGGATGGAATAGACAAGGATGGGCAGGGACTGGACGCGATGGGCTGGAAGGGGCAGGGATGCGAAGGGGTCCCTGGTGTCACCCTCGCCCTGCCCCTGCCTCCCGGTCCCAGCCAGGGGAGCCGCCGGCGGAGCCGCCCTGCAGCTACTTGTCCATCGAGGAGTGCATGGACGAGATGTTCTTCATGGCGCCCGACGACAGCGACTCGGACGAGACGTTCCTGAGCGCCCACGACGACCTCAGCCCCTTGCGGCCAGCGCTGGAGCCCCCCGGGAGCCCGGTACCGGCCCGAGCCGCAGAGGATGCTCCGGGTGCCGGGGACGGTGCCAGGACTGACCCCGGCCGCACGGGACCGGGGCCGGACGCATCGGATGAAGCCGTCGAAGAGGCCGGAGCCGGCCCCGCTCCCAACGCCCCGGGGGAGCCCGGGGAAGGGGAACCGGCCCCGGTGCCTCCATCCCCGCCGCCGGAGGGCAGCGCGGGGCCGAGCCGGCCGGAGCCGCCGGTGCTTCCCGAACCCGCGGCCGTGCTGCGCTTGGCCACGCGGGCCGCGCCGGTGCTGCAGGCCCGCTCCGTGCCCGTCGTGCCCCCCAAGCCGCAGTTCGCCACGGTGCCACCGGGCCCGGCCGAGGAGGCAGCGGCGGCCCCACCGGAGAGGCCGCTCCTTGGCCCCGGCCCCGCGTTGAGGCGGGCGGGCTGGCGGGCCCGGGCCAGCGTGTCCCTGCACGCGGAGCTGCCGTCGGGCCGGGCCCCGGTGCGCCGGATCCAGACGTACTGCGGCGGGGAACCGGGGATGGCCGCTCCGGTGCCCGTGGAGCCGGGGGGGAACCGGGCGGGCCCCGGAGCGGCGGAGAGCGGGGCCGCGGGGCAATAAAGGCGCTGGGCTTTGTCTACCGCTGCGGCCTCCTTCAGCACAACATGGCGGCGTGGGGCTGCCGGTGGCGAACGGAGAGGGGAAGGGGGGGGGGGGTGGCCGGGATGCACCGGGAGCATCCCCGGTTCGCCCGGGGCTGAAGGAGACCGGGGGGTGCCCGTCTCCAAGATGGCGCCGCCCTCACTCAAGATGGCGGCGGGGGTGGAAGCCGCCGAAGCTTCGCCGTCTAAGATGGCGGCCGCGCGCGCTGAGATGGCGCCGTGCCCGGCCCCAAGATGGCGGCGGCGGAGGCGTGAAGCGGGGGGGAGGCGGGGTGCGGGTGTGGGCACCGGAGCCGCTTCCGCCCGGGCCTGCGATGGCGGCGCCGCGGCACCGTGCGCATGTGCGGGGCTCCATGGCGAGACAAGGGGCCGAGCGCGCGCAGGGCGGCCCGGCGCGGACAGGTACCGGGAGGCGGGGGGGGGAACGGGAGGGGGGGGCACCGGCACCGGGAGCGGGACCGCGCCGGGAACGGGACGGGACGGGAGGGGCAGGGCCGACACCGCCTTCGCCGCCCGCGGAGCCGCGGGGCCGGGCCCTGCCGCGGGGAGGACCGAGGCCCAGCCGAGGCCCAGCGCTGCCGCCGGGCCGCGTCCCCCCCCCCCCGCTCCGGGCTCCCGGTCCCGGGTCCCGCCGCCCCGCCCCGGGGCCCTGTCACCGTTCCCCGCAGCCCCCCCCGCGCCTGTCACGGCTGCCCCCGGCCCTGACACCCGGTTTTGGGCCCCGGTGAGGGCCGGAGCCGAGCGCTGGGCCCGGGGGGGTGCCGCGGGGATCAAGCCGTGGGGAGGGGGGGGGGCTCGGTGCGGGACCCCCGCTCCCGGCGCCACAACCGGGACAAAGGAACGGGGGTCGCGGCGGGAGGGGCGGAACCCGGGGCACGGGGGGTGCCGGTGACAGCGGGAGGAGGATGGGGGTGAAGGGGCGGCCCCGGCTCAGCCCCCTCTGCCCCTGCAGGGCTGTGAAGCCGGAGCCTCCTCTGCGTCTGCCCCGCGGATGCCCGTCGGAGCGGAGCGATGAAGGGGTGAGATGGGGACCGGGGCGGGGGTGTGCATGGGGTGGGATGTGGGGTACCCAGCGATGGGGTATGGGGTCCTCAGTGATGGGTTAGGGGGGATCCCCAGCGATGGGCTGTGGGGTCCTCAATGATGGGCTATGGGGTGCTCAATAATGGGCTATGGGGTCCCCAGTGATGGGGTATGGGGGGATCCCCAGCGATGGGCTATGGGGGGATCCCTAGCGATGGGCTATGAGGTCCTCAATAATGGGTATGGGGGGATCCCCAGCTATGGGGTATGGGGTCCTCAGTGATGGGTATGGGGGGATCCCCAGCGATGGGCTGTGGGGTCCTCAATGATGGGCTATGGGGTGCTCAATAATGGGCTATGGGGTCCCCAGTGATGGGGTATGGGGGGATACGCAGCGATGGGCTGTGGGGCCCTCAATAATGGGTTAGGGGGGATCCCCAGCGATGGGCTATGGGGTCCTCAATGATGGGCTATGGGGTGCTCAATAATGGGCTATGGGGTCCCCAGTGATGGGGTATGGGGTCCTCAATAATGGGTTAGGGGGGATCCCCAGCGATGGGCTATGGAGTCCTCAATAATGGGCTATGGGGGGATCCCTAGCGATGGGCTATGGGGTCCTCAATAATGGGTATGGGGGGATCCCCAGCTATGGGGTATGGGGTCCTCAATAATGGGTTAGGGGGGATCCCCAGTGATGGGCTGTGGGGTCCTCAATGATGGGCTATGGGGGGATCCCTAGCGATGGGCTATGGGGTCCTCAATAATGGGTATGGGGGGATCCCCAGCTATGGGGTATGGGGTCCTCAGTAATGGTTATGGGGGGATCCCCATCTATGGGCTATGTGGGGTCCCCAGCAATGGGCTATGGGGTCCTCAATAATGGGTTAGAGTTGATACCCAGCTATGGGGTATGGGGTCCTCAATAATGGGCTGTGGGGTCCCCAACAATGGGCTGTGGGGGATCCCCAGCGATGGGCTGTGGGGTCCTCAATAATGGGCTATGTGGAGATCCCCAGCGATAGGCTGTGGGGTCCTCAATGATGTGCTGTGGGGGTCCCCAGTGATGCGCTATGGGGTCCCCAAGAATGGGCTATAGGGGGTCCCCAGTGATGGGCTGTGGGGTTCTTTGTAATGGGCTATGGGGGTCCCCAGTAATGGCTTATGGGGGGTCCCCAGCAATGGGCTGTGGGGTTCTTAGTAGTGGGCTATGGGGGATCCCCAGTGATGGGGCATGAGGGGTCCCCAGCGATGGGCTATGGGGTCCTCAATAATGGGTTAGGGGGGATCCCCAGCGATCGGCTATGTGGTCCCCAGTAATGGGTTATGGGGTTCCCCAGCGATGGGCTATTGGGTCCCCAGTAATTGGCTATGGGGGTCTCCAGCCATGGGCTGTGGGGTCCCTAGTAATGGGCTATGGGGGATCCCCAGTGATGGGGTATGAGGGGTCCCCAGTAATGAGCTATGGGGTCCTTAGTAATGGGCTATGGGGGATCCCCAGTGATGGGGTATGAGGGGTCCCCAGTAATGAGCTATGGGGTCCTTAGTAATGGGCTAGGGGGGATCCCCAGTGATGGGGTATGGGGGTCCCTGACCCGTTGCTCCTCTCCTTGCAGGCAGCAGAAAGCAGCCGAGACGGAAGAGGGAACGGTGCAGATCCAGGAAGGTGAGTGGGGACCCCCTGTGGGCTATGGGGTGGGGGCTATGGGGGGGTGGGTGTTTAGGGCTGCGGCTGCCCTGGTTTAGCACTGGCCATGCCCAGTTTAGCAGCAGCAAGTGGCTGGAGGCGTTTAACACCAGGCCCTGTCCTTGTCCCTGCTAGAGAAGGGAATAGCGCTGAGCCCCTCAGCATCACAGGGACCTTTGGCCTTGGCCCTTTCCCTGGCACGGGGCAGCATCATAGAATGATTTGGGATAAAGGGACCTTAAAGCTCCTCCGGCTCCAACCCCTGCCACGGGCAGGGCCGCCTTCCACCGGAGCACCTTGCTCCAAGCCCCTGTGTCCAACCTGGCCTTGAGCACTGCCAGGGCCGGAGCATCCCCATTCCTCGGATACCCTGTGCCAGTGCCTCCCTAAACCTTCTTCTTGCCTTAAGGTGCAGTGGCCACAGGGGAGGATCCCACCAGCGTCGCCATTGCCAGCATCCAGTCTGCAGCCACCTTCCCCGACCCCAACATCAAGTATGTGTTTCGCACGGAGAACGGCGGCACGCAGGTACCGGCACCGGGAGCACCGGGGTGGGGGGGGCCCGGTGGCACCGGCCGGTCCCTGCAGCCCCACGTTCTCCATAGGTGATGTATAGGGTGATCCAAGTGGCTGATGGGCAGCTGGACGGGCAGACGGAGGGCACCAGCGCCATCAGCGGCTACCCCGCCACCCAGTCCATGACACAGGTGGGTGCCGGTGGTGGTGAGCGCGGCGGGGAGCGTCTCCGGCGCCCTGTCCCACCGCGGCACCGCTGCGGCTCCCCCGTTGCAGGCCGTCATCCAGGGCGCCTTCACGAGCGAGGATGCGGTGGAGACGGAGGCCACGGCCACCGAGACCCATTACACCTACTTCCCCACCACGGCCGTGGCCGACACCAGCACCTCGGCCGGCGCGGGCACCACGGCCACCGCCGTCGTCACCACGCAGAACTCGGAGGCCCTCCTAGGGCAGCCCACCCCTACGGGTACGGTGTGGGGTGTCCAGGGTGGGGGTCGTGGCCCGGTTCGGGCTGCTCCTCGCCTCACCCCGTGGCCCTTTGGGTCCTTCAGGGCAGTTCTTTGTGATGATGTCGCCGCAGGAGGTGCTGCAGGGGGGCCCGCAGAGGTCCATCGCCCCCCGGGCCCACCCTTACTCCCCGTGAGTACCGGATCTGCCCCCAAATCTGCCCCCCCCCCCATCCCGGAATCCTTCCTGGATCCCCTGGCACGTGGCTGGGGGATGCTCCGGCGCTTACGGAGCGGGCTGGATCACCCCGATCCATCCCCCCATGCCGGCATGGGGAGGGCTGGGATGGAGCCGGATCCTCACCGGGATCACCAGGACCGACGCCGCCGGTGTTCCCCCAGGAAGTCGGAGGCACCACGAGCCACCCGGGATGAGAAGCGCCGGGCACAGCACAACGAAGGTACCGGCAGCGGGATGGGGGGAGCATCCCGTGTCCGGTGCGGGATGGCGGGATCCGGTGCGGGAGAACAGCCAGCCCCGGCTCCCGATTCCTGGATGGAAAAGCTCTAAGGAGACACCCCAAAGCTCTTGTTAAAACCTTCTTTGGGGAGCCTCGAGGGCACCCTAAAAGAGGCTGATTTGACCCCAACCGGGCCCATTCTGCCCCCCCCCCGGTGGCTGGGTCCAGTACAACAGGGGACAGTGACCCCCAGCCCAGCCTGGGGGGGGGGGGGGGGGCGGGTTTGGGGTATGGGGAGGGGTGGGGGGGGTGTCTCAGGGCCCTGCTGCCCCCCAACCCCTCTGTGCCCCCCGGCAGTGGAGCGCCGGCGCAGGGACAAGATCAACAACTGGATCGTGCAGCTCTCCAAGATCATCCCAGATTGCTCCATGGAGAACACCAAGTCAGGGCAGGTCCGGACCCCCCCTTCCCTCCACGGAGGCACAGTGGGGCTCGGGGTGGGCTCTATGGGGTACCGTTGCCGCCCCCCACCCCCCCCCCCAATTCACCCCTATGTATCCCAATCCCCAGAGCAAGGGGGGGATCCTGTCCAAAGCCTGCGACTACATCCAGGAGCTGCGGCAGAGCAACCACCGCCTCTCCGAGGAGCTGCAGGGCCTCGACCAGCTCCAGATGGACAACGAGGTCTTGCGGCAGCAGGTGAGGAATGGTGTGGGGTAGGGATTTAGGTTCCCTATACCCAACGTTGGGGGGGTGGGTCCATGCTTGTCCTGACCCCCCCCTTTCCCATGGGTACCCCCATCCCGGTGCCAGGTCGAGGACCTCAAGAACAAGAACCTGATCCTGCGGGCGCAGCTCCGCCAGCACGGCGTTGAGATCGTCATCAAGAACGACACCCACTGACGGGACAGCGGGGACGGGGTGGGGGGGGGACACACGGGGGACACCTCCCCCCCCCCGCGACCCACAACTCCCCCTCCCCCCCCCTTCCCCCCCCCCCAGTGTGACATGAGGACCCCCCCTTTGGTTTGTGTTCCCCTCCCCCCTGTGCCCCCCCCCCCATAAACTTCATGTGCCCCACAGACCCCCCCAAACCCCCCCCCCCCCCGCGCTTCGTGCACACGCTCTCGGCCAGGCGGGCGCCGGCCCCTCCCCCCCCCCAGTGCCCCCCAAACCTTCCCCCCCTCCCCCCCCCCAAGCACTGCCTGCCCCCCCTCCCCCCCCGCCTGCGCCCGTGATGTCCCCGTCCCCCCTCCCCCCATGGGACACCCCCTCCCGGGGTGGTGTTGGGGGTCCCCGGGGTCCGTGTGTCCCCTCCCCCACCTCCCGCTGCGGCTGCCCCGCCCCCACCCCCCCCCCCCAACACCCCCATCCCCCCCCTCCCCTCCCCCCGGGGCCAGACGGGTTTTTTTTTAAACTCTGAATTTAACGAAAAAAAAACAAACAAACAAAAAAAACACCCAAGAAAAAAAAAAAGGCAAAAAAATAAATAAAAATAGTGATTTGTTTTTCCAGAGCCCGCCGCTCATTCCCCGCCCCCCCCGGCACCCATGGAGCCCTTCATAGCACCCATGGAGCCCTTCATAGCACCCATGGAGCCCTTCATAGCACCCATGGAGCCCTCCATAGCACCCATGGAGCTCTCCATAGCACCCATGGAGCTCTCCGTAGCACCCATGGAGCTCTCCGTAGCACCCATGGAGCCCTCCGTAGCACCCATGGAGCCCGCCACAGCACCCATGGAACCCTCCGTAGCACCCATGGAGCCCGCCACAGCACCCATGGAACCCTCCGTAGCACCCATGGAACCCTCCGTAGCACCCATGGAGCCCTCCATAGCACCCATGGAGCCCTCCATAGCACCCATGGAGCCCTCCATAGCGCCCATGGGACCCTTGGGCATGGGGAGACCCCCCCCTTTCACCCGGGGATACCGGAAGGTGCTGGAATTGGGGGGGGGGGGAACACCGGGAGCCCTGGGAGGCCCTCGGGGTCTGAAGAGGCCGCAGGCCCCGTCGCCATGGCAACGCCCGGGTGTCCCCGCCCGAGGGCCCCCGCGACGGACGCAACGCGCGCCCATTGGCCAGAAGTTAAAGAGCGCTTTCTGATTGGCCAGCAGGTTTTGCCCCGCCCAATCCTTTTTCACACCTGTCTCTCGCACTGCCTCTTCTCCCCAGCCAATCAAATCAGAGCTTTGGGGCCGAGCCTGCTTGTTATTGGTTGCGGGGCGCGTCCGCTCTTGGCTCTGACAGGAGTCCCAGCCAATGGCCGATGGGGTGAGAGGCGGGGCTCCGCAGCACCTGGTGGAGGGGCGGCACCCGGTTGGTCCAGCCCCTCGGGGAGGGGCGGGGCCGCACCTGGGCGGGGCGGGGCCGCACCTGGCGCGGGCGCGGCGGCGGCGGCGGCGATGGCGGCAGCGGCGGGGGGCGGCCCCGGGCCCTGGCTCCTGCTCCTCGGGGCGGCCGGTGAGTGCCGGGGGGGGGGACGGGGACCACGAGGTGACCGGACAATGGCCGCGGGCCTCCGGTACCGGGGGTATTGGGGGGGGTGGCCGGTACCGGTGGTTCGGGGGTATTTGGGGGGCGGTCTGGGGCCTGGTAACGGGGTCTGGTAACGGGGCCTGGTAACGGGGTCCTGTTGAGCCCTCCCGCCCCGGTGGAGCCCCGTTAGGGCGCGGGGGGCACGGCGGCACCGCCCCGTTGTTTACGGTTTGTGGTTGGGTTTATGGGCGATAAAGAACTTTGTCACCGGGAACCGCAGCGTGGGGCGGGGGGGGACGGGGGGACACCAGCACCGGGTGAAGACCCAAAGGAACCGGGCGAGGGCTGAGCCGGTGCCGCTCCCAGCGACACGCGAGGGTTCGGGGTAGCGGGGATTCGCTGTACCGGGGGGTTCGAGGTTATCGGGGGGTTCGTGCTACCGGAGGTTCGTGGTATCGGGGTAGCGGGGATTCGCTGTACTGGGGGGTTCGAGGTTATCGGGGGGTTCGTGCTACCGGAGGTTCGTGGTATCGGGGATTCGCAGTATCGGGGTATCGTGAGTAGCGGGGTGTTCGCGGTAGCGGGGGCTTCGTGGTATCGGGGGTACGGGGGGGGTTCGCGGTGCCGGGGGTATTGTGGGTACCGGGGGGGGTCGCGGTGCCGGGGGTATCGTGGGTACCGGGGGGTTCGCTGTACCGGGGGTTCGGGGTATCCGGAGTATCGGGGGTTCTCTGAACCGGGGGGGTTCGGGGTCCCACGGTACCGGGGAGTTCAGGTTCTTGGGGTACCGGGGGCTCTGCGGATCAGGGTCTTTGTGTACGGGGGGGTTCTCGGTACCGGGGGCATGGGGGAACCGAGTCCCTCGGTGGAGCCGGTAACGGAGGGTGTGGATCCGGCCGCACTTCCCGGCGCCGGAAACCCGGCTCAGGCAAACATCCCGGCCGGAGCCGGGGCTCTTCCTGGTGCCGCCGGTGGGGGGGGGTATCCCGGGGCCGCGGCTCCAAAGGCTGCGGTTTCGGGGTGCGGGGCCGTGGTCTCGGTGCCTTTCCCTGCCCCTTTGTGCGGGAGCGATCCCGGAGCCGCTCGGGATTAACCCGATGGCGGCCGCGGTGGAGCCGGCGGTGATCCCATGGCGTGGCCTCTGCCGGCTCCTTGTGCCCCGAATCCACCTGAATTCACCCCAAATCCTTCCCTGTGCCGCGCTTCCAGACTTTTCCATGCCGATGGCATTCCCTTGGTGTTGAGCAACGCTTTATGCTTGGAGCCCCCCAACACCCATTTCCGCCTTGTTTCACCCCAAAAATCCCTCTTCCCGCCCCGTTTCGGGGTGCCTTTGGGGAAGGGCAGGGGCCACGCGTGCCCAGGCGCGTTCCGTGTGCGTGGCCGAATGGCCCGAAACCGGGCAGGGCCGCGGCGCACCCGGAGCAGCCGGACGGGATTTTCCAGCTCCGGAGCCCGTGTCCCAGCGGGTGTTGGTGTCACCGGGCTCCGGTGACCGTCACCGCCGCCTCAGGGCTCTGCTGACCCCTTCCTGCTCCCTGGATCCCATTGGATCCCAGAGCCGGGTCCTTGTCCCTCCGCAGTGTCGCTGGTGGGAGCCCAGGTCACCTACGAGACCAAAGAAGTGCCTGAGAACGAGCGTGAGTGTCCCCGTCCCCGTTACCCCATCGCAGTGCCAGGGGTTCCTGCTCCGGTGGCACGGGTCGGCAGCACCGTTTCCCCCCCCCACACCCCAATCCCACCCCATAGCCGCCGAGATTCCCTGTGCCGCGTACGAGTTTGGTTTGAAGAACCCCCGCATCGAGTGGAAGTTCCAGAAGGGATCCTCGCTTGTGCTCTTCTACTACGGGGGGCAACTGACGGGTACGGCACACACACCCCCGCCCCCCCCTTTTCCCTGTGCCCATCCAGCCCCATTCCCAGCTCCATTCCCTCTCTTCCAGAGCCGTACAAGGACCGGGTCCGTTTTGCCCCCAACGCCATCTCCTTCCTCACGGTGACGCGGGCGGACACCGGGAAGTACATCTGCGAGGTGGTGGGGGACGGCAGCAAGATCGCCAAGTCCGAGGTGAACCTCATTGTCCAAGGTGTGCCCGTGCCCCCCCCCATCCCTGCTCGTCCCTGTCCCCGCCGTGGTGTGGGGCCGGTGCTGACCCAGCCCCATGGCTCCCCCAGTGCCGCCCTCCAAGCCCGTGGCCCACGTCCCCACCTCGGCCACCATCGGCAGCAGGATCGTGCTGCGCTGCACCGAGACGGACGGCTCGCCCCCCCCCACCTTCCGCTGGTACAAGGACGGGATGCTGCTCCCCACCGATCCCAAATCCAGCCCCAGCTTCCGCAATTCCTCCTACACCCTGGACACCGCCACGGGCGAGCTGGTGAATGAGGGGGTGGGCTCCGAGCGTGGGTATCCCATCCCTGGTTCCCTGTATCCTGCGCTCACATCCCGGCTCCCATCCAGGTCTTCCAGCCCCTCGGCAGCTCCGACAGCGGTGCCTACTCCTGCGAGGCCAGCAACAACGTAGGATCCGCGCAGAGATCCGATGCTATCCGTATGGAAGCCAGTAAGGACCAGCCCCAGGTTTAGGGGGGGGGCACCGTCGTTCCCTTGCAGTGTTAAAGATCCCGTTGGCGTTCCCAAGAGCCCGGTTTGATGACAGGGAAAGGGGAAAACTGCCCCTGGGGGCACCTAAAGCTGGATTCGGCTGCCGGATCTACCCAGATCCAGGTCGGATCCTGGCTCCGGGCTCTCTTCCCGGTTTTCCACACTGGGATTGGCCCCTCTCAGCCCTCCCCATCCCTCTTTGCCTTTGCCAGGTGAGGTCAACGTCGGCGGCATCGTGGCCGCTGTCGTGGTGCTGCTGATGGTGCTGGCGCTCGTGGCCTTCGGCGTCTGGTTTGCCTACAGACGGGGCTTCTTCAGCAGTGAGTCCTGGCCCCGTGCCCCCCCCATGATGTGTCCCCTCCCGTGATGTCCCCCCCGTGATGTGTCCCCCCATGATGTGTCCCCCCCATGTTGTGTCCCCCCATGTTGTGTCCCCCCATGATGTGTCCCCTCCGTGATGTGTCCCCCCTCCATGATGTGTCCCCTCCATGATGTCCCCCCCCGTGATGTGTACCCCCCCGTGATGTCTCCCCCATGATGAGTCCCCCCCACGATGTGTGTCCCCCACGATGTGTGTCCCCCCTATGATGTGTCCCCCTCCATGATGTGTCCCCCCGATGATGTGTCCCCCCGATGATGTGTCGTCCCCCGTGATGTGTCGTCCCCCGTGATGTGTCGTCCCCCGTGATGTCCCCCGCCATGATGTCCCCCGTGATGTGTCCCCCAATGATGTCCCCCCCGTGATGTGTCCCCCCATGATGTCCCCCGTGATGTCCCCCCCCACGATGTGTCCCCCCCACGATGTGTCCCCCCGTGATGTCCCCCCCCATGATGCCCCCCCCTAACTCCCTCTCTTTCTTCTATTCCAGAGAGAAAAGAGTAAGTGAAGCCGCTGCTGCCTCCTCCTCCTCCTCACTCTGGGCTTGGGAAGGTCCTCGGGAGGCACTGGGTGCTGGGGGGGGGGGGGGCATGGGGGCAGGGGGGGTCTGTTCCCTGCCCCATCGCCCCCTTCCCTTCTTTTCCTGCAGCGGCACCGGCAAGAAGGTGATTTACAGCCAACCCTCGCACCGCAGCCAGGTGAGGGGCAGCGCAGGGACAGCCCCAGCCCTCGTCCCTGTCCCCGTTCCCTATCCCCGCCATTCCCCGTCCCCATCCCCGGGGCTGGGGTTTAAGCCCAGCTGGGAACTTGGAGCCATGTGTTTCCCATCATTCCCTGTCCCCATCCCTGCCGTTCCCCATCCCTATCCCCACCATTCCCCATCCCTGTTGTTCCCTGGCTCCAACCCTGGCCTTCCTTGTCCGCAGTGTTCCCTGTCCCCATCCCTGCCATTCCCTATCCCCACCCTTGGGTATTCTCTCTCCCCATCCCCTTCATTCCCTCTCCTCAACCCCACAGTTCCCTGTCCCCAGCCCCAGCATTCCCTGACCCCACCATTCCCCAGCCCCAGCATTCCCTGACCCCACCATTCCCCAGCCGCAGCATTCCCTGTTCCCAGTACTCCCCATCCCCAGCGTTCTCCATCCCTGGTGTTCCCTTTCCCCATCCCCATCAACATCATTCCCTCTCCCCCATCCCCAGCATTCCCTGTCCCCATCCCTGCCATTGGCTATCCCTATCCTTGGTATTCTCTGTCCACATCCCCTTCATTCCCCATCCTCAACCCCACTGTTCCCTGTTCCCATCCCTGGTATTCCCTGACCCCAGCATTCCCTGTTCCCAGTATTCCCCATCTTCCCCATCCCTGGTGTTCCTATTCCCCGTCCCTGTCCTTCCCCATCCCCGTCCTTCCCCATCCCCGTCCTTCCCCATCCCCGTCCTTCCCCATCCATCCTTCCCCATCCCCATCCCTGGCGTTCCCCATCCAGCAAACCCAGCTGGACCAGTTGGGTGCCCCCCGTCCCCCAGCGCCATCGATGTCCCCCCCCATCCCCACAGGGAGAGTTCAAGCAGACGTCGTCCTTCCTGGTGTGACCCCCCCCCTGCTGTGGCCGACCCGGTGTCCCCAATGCCCCCCCCGGGACCGTGGCTCCGCCGGGATTTCACCGCTCCTCGGGATGCTGCAGCTTCACCCGGTGCCTTTGGGGCAGCCCCACATGGATTTGGGGGGGGGGGGGGTTGGTTTTACGTCCCCTCCCCTGTGGGGACATCACCGTGTCCCCTACTTGGGGACAAGGCTGGGGGGGGTGGGAATGTGCCCCCCAACCCACTGCTCCCAGTTACCCCCTTGGACTGGGGGGGGGGGGGCTGGAAATAAACCAAACCTGTGTCTTTAGACACAGCCTGTCCCTGGGGGGGGGCTCTGCCCCCTCTGCACTGCTTATGGGGGGGGGGGACATGGGACATGGGGACACACAGGCCCGGCCCCACCATCAACGCAGCCTTTATTTAGTAACCGCTTTGCCTTTGCCCCCCCAGTGGAGGCTGAGCCCCACCCCCCCGGGGGGGGCGGTTGGGACCCATTTTTTGGGGGGGGGGGGGGCCCTTCCTGCCCCCCCGGTTAGTGGCTCTCTCTATACACGTACATGGGGCCGGGGGGCCGCGCGTTAATAGCAGAGCTCTACGTTAGCAGCGGGGGGGGGACACGTGTCCGATTATCGGTGACACCCCCAGGTGTGACCCCCCCCCTCTCCATGTCCCCCAGGGCAGCATCTCCCTGCAGGGCCGTGTCCTGCAATGGGGCTGGGGGCTTGGGGGGGGGGGGGCAAGGGACAGGCTGGGATGGGGATGGGAACAGGAGCAGCCTGGGGGGGGAACAGGGGAAGGGCTGGGGGCACCCAGAGGGTTGGTGGCACCACAAGAGGTTGGTGGCACCAGAAGGGGTTGGTGGCATCTCCAGTGCTGGTGGCACCAGAAGAGCTTGGTGTCACCATAAGGGTTTGGTGGCATTTCCAGTGCTGGTGTCACCAGAAGAGCTTGGTGTCACCGTCAGGGCTTGGTGGCATCTCCAACGCTGCTGGCATCTATAGGGTTGGTGGCATCTCCAATGCTGGTGTCACCATAAGGGCTTAGTGGCATCTCTAGTGCTGATGTCACCAGAAGAGCTTGGTGTCACCGTAAGGGCTGAGTGGCATCTCCAATGCTGGTGTCACCATAAGGGCTTAGTGGCATCTCTAGTGCTGATGTCACCAGAAGAGCTTGGTGTCACCGTAAGGGCTTAGTGGCATCTCTAGTGCTGATGTCACCAGAAGAACTTGGTGTCACCGTAAGGGCTTGGTGGCATCTCCAGTGCTGGTGTCACCAGAAGAGCTTGGTGTCACCCTAAGGGCTTGGTGGCATGTCCAACGCTGCTGGCATCTCTAGGGTTGGTGACATCTCCAATGCTGGTGTCACCAGAAGAGCTTGGTGTCACCGTAAGGGCTTAGTGGCATCTCCAATGCTGGTGTCACCGTAAGGGCTTAGTGGCATCTCTAGTGCTGATGTCACCAGAAGAGCTTGGTGTCACCGTAAGGGCTTGGTGGCATCTCCAGTGCTGGTGTCACCAGAAGAGCTTGGTGTCACCCTAAGGGCTTGGTGGCATCTCCAACGCTGCTGGCATCTCTAGGGTTGGTGACATCTCCAATGCTGGTGTCACCAGAAGAGCTTGGTGTCACTATAAGGGCTTGGTGGCATCTCTAGTGCTGATGTCACCAGAAGAACTTGGTGTCACCGTAAGGGCTTGGTGGCATCTCCAGTGCTGGTGGCACCAGAAGAGCTTGGTGTCACCGTAAGGGCTTGGTGGCATCTCCAATGCTGGTGTCACCTCCAGGCCCCGGTGACGCCTCCAGGACCAGCGACCCCTCCAGGCACTGGTGGCACCTCTGGGTAATGCCAACACCTCCAGGCCCGGGGGACGCCTGCAGGAGGTGGTGGCATCTCCATGCCCGGTACCGGTACCCCCCCCCCCACCACCACCACCACCACCACGCCTGCCCCACGGCGCGGGCGCGCTTCAGACGTTGCTGATGCGCACGCTGAGCCCCGCTCCCTCGCGCTCCCGCTCGGCCGCTTCCCGCAAGGACTCCTCCAGCTTCACCTTCTCGGGGTCTCCGAAGCGGGGGGGCTGGCGGGGACCGCGCGGCGCCGGCACCTCCACCACGCGGTCGAAGAGGCTGAAATCGGCCACGTACTTGCCGCTGGCCGAGAGCGAGATGGCCGGCGTGAACTCGTAGCCCCAAAGGATCTCCTCGGGCAGGTAGGAGGTGCGGACCTGGCACGTGGCGCTGGTGGACTCCACGGTGCCGCTGAGGATCACCACCAGCTCGAAGTCGCCTTCGCCCGGGCGCAGGGCCACGTCCCGCAAGGGGCTGCCCTCGTCCAGCACGTGGTAGAAGGTGAGGGGCAGGATGAGGAAGGGGCTGTCCGAGGCCGTGTCCACCTGGAAGTCCACGTTGAGTTGGTTGAGGTGGACGCTCTCGCCTTCCTTGGTGAGGTGGGTCTGCAGGAGCTTGCCCGTCACTTGGCAGCCGATGAGGAGGCTCTTGCGCATGTTGGCCACGCGGATCATGAGGCAGGTCTTGCCGTCGTGCTGAGCCACCACGGCATTCTGGCTGAAGCGGATGGTCTCGGCGCGTTTCTTGGGCCGGGCGATCTTGGCCAGGAAGGTGCCGGTGATGAAGATCTCCATGATGGTGGTGAGGACGAGCTGGGTGATGAGCAGCACGATGGCCAACGGGCACTCCTCGCTGATGTACCGGAACCCGTAGCCGATGGTGGTCTGGGACTCGAGGGAGAAGAGGAAGGCGCCGGTGAGCGTGTGCACCTGCATCACGCACGGCGTGTGGTTGGCCGGCGGCTCGAACTCCAGCAGGTCCCCGTGGGCCACGGCCACCAGGTACCACACGACGCCGAAGGCGAACCAGGTGCCGGCGAAGGTGGCGGAGAAGAGGAGGAGCTTGTAGCGCCATTGCATGTCGATGAAGGTGGTCCACAGGTCCTTGAGGTACAGGAAGCGCTTGTCGGCGATGTGCTCCATGCGCACGTTGCTGCGGCCGTCCTTGGTCATGACGCGGCGCCGGCGCAGCCCCGCGCCCATGAGCGGGCGGCTCTCGGTCTGCGTGGTCTGGCTGTAGAACACCTTGGTGGAGGACGTCATCTGCAAGAGGGGACGGGAGGTGAGGAGGGAGCAGGGGATGGGTGGCGGAGGAGGGGGGGAGGAGGAGGGGTGAGACTGACGAGGGGGTAGAGGATGGATGGAGAAGAGGAATGGGTGAATGGATGGAAGGAATGGCTGGGAAGATGGATGGAGAAGAGGAATGGAGAAGCATGGGTGGAGGAGAAGGGTGGAGAAGACTGACACATGGAGGAGGTAGAGGATGGATGGAGAAGGATTGATAAGACTGATACATGGAGGAGGTAGAGGATGGATGGAGAAGAGGAATGGGTGAATGGATGGAAGGAATGGCTGGGAAGATGGATGGAGAATAGGGATGGAGAAGGATGGGTGGAGGAGAAGGGTGGGTAAGACTGACCCGGAGAAGGTAGAGGATGAATGGAGAAGGATTGATAAGACTGATACATGGAGGAGGTAGAGGATGGATGGAGAAGGATTGATAAGACTGACACATGGAGGAGGTAGAGGATGGATGGAGAAGGATTGATAAGACTGACACATGGAGGAGGTAGAGGATGGATGGAGAAGAGGAATGGGTGAATGGATGGAAGGAATGGCTGGGAAGATGGATGGAGAAGGATGGATAAGACTGACACATGGAGAAGGTAGAGGATGGATGGAGAAGAGGAATGGGTGAATGGATGGAAGGAATGGCTGGGAAGATGGATGGAGAAGGATGGATAAGACTGACATATGGAAAAGGTAGAGGATGGATGTAGGAGGATTGATAAGACTGATACATGGAGGTGGTAGAGGATGGATGAAGGAGAGGAATGGATGGAAGGAATGGATGGGAAGATGGATGGAGAATAGGGATGGAGAAGGATGGATAAGACTGACACATGAAGAAGGCAGAGGATGGCTGGAAGGAATGGCTGGGAAGATGGGTGGAGAATAGGGATGGCGAAGGATGGATAAGGCTGACACATGGAGAAGGCAGAGGATGGATGGAGAAGAGGAATGGGTGGGAAGATGGATGGAGAATACGGATGGAGAAGGATGGGTGGAGAACTTGACAGCTGGAGAAAATAGAGTAAGATAGAGAAGACGGATGGAGAAGGATGGATAGAGAAGAGGAATGGGTGGATGACGAAGATGGGTGGATGGATGGATGGATGGATGGATGGATGGATGGATGGATGGATGGAGAGAAGTAACAGCTGGGAAGAGGGGTGAAGAAGGATGGACGGATGAAGTAAATGAGGGACGGGTGGAAGCGGGATGGAAAAAGCGATGGAGCAGGATAGATGGACGGAGAAGACAGACGGAGACGATAGAGGATGGCTGGAGAAGAGGAATGGGTGGGTGGGGAGATGGAACGGCTGGAAAGATGGATGGGGTAAGACTTGACAGACGGAGAAGAGACAGGGGACGGCTGGATCCATCCCTGTGCGTGTCCCTGTCCACCCTCCATCCCCCGGAGCCCCCATCCCTCCGTGCCCCCCACATCCCTCCGTGCACCTGCCCATCCATCCGTGTGTGCATCCCGCTCCCGACTCCTCCCGTGTCCCGGCAGCTCCCCCTCATCCCGCCCCATCCCTTGGGGGGTCCGGGGCGCCCTGCCCGGCCGGGAGGAAGAGGAAGGGGGGGATGAATGGCGGTGACAAACGGCTGGTGGCGGCGCCAGGCGCGTTTCCGTCCCCGTTGTCCCCGGCCCGGCCGCGGGCACAGAAGGCGCCTTTCAGCCCCCGCCAGCCTTTGGCCTCGCACCGTTTCCGCCGCGGCACCGAGCCGGGGACACCGGGGACGTGGGGACACCGGGGAGGGAAGGGAAGGGGGGGCCGGGGCCGCCGTCCCGGTTGTGGCACATCCCGCTTGGCGCCAGGCCCTGCCCGGGGCACACCGGGGATGCGGTGCCCGCTCCCCACAGGCACCGTGAGCCCGGTGCCGCCCGGTCCCCAAAGCGCTGCCCATGCCGGGCAGTGACGGGCACCGGCACGTCCAGGGGGGGGGGCTCTGCACCCCCAAAGTCCTTCTGCTCCTCTGGGCTCCCTTTGACCTCTGCTGTGGGGCAAAATAGACACCCCCTATGGGGG